TATTTTACCTTTAAAACTTAAGAATAATCACACTAGCTAAGAGGCAAGTTAACAGGCTTGAAAATCACTGTTGTCCTTCTGATTAAATCATCTGCCCAAAAGTAAACAGAATACCTTCTGAAAAGAATCTTCATCTGTTATGTCATAAACTAAAATAGCTCCATTGGAATCTCTGTAGTAAATTGGACCCAATGCGTGAAATCTCTCTTGCCCCGCTGTGTCCTAAATAAAATAATGAATACTTATTAGATCAGAATAAAAACAGTATGTGAAAAATTATAACTACAGTGAATTTATGATTAATTGTAAAGTGGGCTAAGGAGTCACAAATAACCCCAAATAGTAAACAAAACATGGTGCAAAAAAATTTGAAAAGCCAAATTATAGCCAGTATTTAATGTGTTACTGTTATTTCTCCCCTCCAGCCCCCTTCTTCCTCAGCAATCTAACGAACACAACTAGCAAGCAGCCTAGATGCCAGAGAATCAGAATGACTAGCAATGCACTAAGTGTAGGCCTGCTCTAACCTAACTCCCCAATAAAGGGAGAGATAAGGAAAGGCAGGCTGCGGCCCACACATTCTGAAGTGGAAGACCTGTAACCATTCCAAAGTGAAAAGTTATAATATCAATACACAAATATTAAATTCTGTTCAAGACATAACTGCCAAATTTTAGAGGTGGGGAGAGATGTGGGGTTTGGAGACACTTTTAGCTAACCTTTAATTAATGAAAATATTTTAAAAATCTGATTCCTATTCTCTGAACCAATTAATTCTTAACAGGATGAAGAACACACAGAAAACTCCATCCATAGGGTTGAAAAGGTTAACTTACCCATATGGCGAGATTTACTCTTTTCCCGCCAATATTTAACTTCTTTGTTAGGAAAGATGCCTAAAAAAAAAAAGGTACATTAAACAGTGTTTCATATAAAGAATATGTTTATCTTGACAACTATATAGGAATCATCTCTGTGTAATTCAAGCTATCTGAAAAAAAAGGTGATTGTTGAGTTTTTACTCATGACCAAGTATTTTCATTGATGACGTAATATTTACATTCCTATCGAAGGGATTTTAGTTTATGAACGCAAATCATAAAAATACAAAGGCGACTGTTTTTCCCATATATATTGTTTGGTGCCACCAATTGGTTCCGATGCACAGCACCTTAAGTACAACAGCATGAAGCACCACCTGATCCTGCACCATCCTCCCAATTGTTAAATTGTTTAGCTAATTGTTGCAGCCAGTGTGTCAATCCATCTTGTCAAAGGCCTTCTTTCACGTTTTCACTGCCTCTCCACTTTACCAAGCAGGGTTTCCTTCATCAAAGGGTAGGCTCTCGTGATAGCATGTTCAAAGTATCTGAGACTAGTCTGGAGAGCATTCTGGGTATCCTTCTTCTGAGACATCTCACATCCTGTTCACTTTGGGGAACCCTGCTGGCATTTGATAGACCTATGAAATAGCTTCCAGCATCACAGTCGCACACAGCTGCCACAGAATGACAAACGGACAGACTAGTGATGGTTCTCCTGTATGTTGTTGTGCTAGGTGCCACCAAGTCCATTCCGACACAGCGACCCTGTGCACAACAGAAAGAAATACTGCACGATTCTGTGTCATCCTCATAATTGTTCCTGTGTGTGAGCCCATTTTTGCAGCCAGTGTCAATCCATCTTGTTGAGTCTTCTTCTTTTATCACCGCCTCTATACTTTACCAAGCATAATGTCCTTCTCCAGGAACCGGTCTCTCCAGACAACATGTCTGACATATGTAAGGGAATAGTTTGCCATTCTTGCATCGAAAGAGTACTCTGGCAATACTTCTTCCAAGATAGACTGGTTTGTCCTTTTATCAGTCCATGGTACTTACAATATTTTTCACCAGCACCTCATTCCTTAGAGCATTAAATCTGACCACTTTACCTACTCATTATAGAAAGAGTTTGATTTGTAAGATTTACAAGTATGCACCACTTAATGTACCTTTTAGGCATGCCCCTTAGGACAGTATACACATTTACAGACTATCAGGTGTTTTTTGTTAAGGAAAAAAAAAAGCGTCTCTTTTTATTATTCCCATCTAGTTGTTTTAATGCATTAGGTGCTTTACTGCAGGGGGGAAATGGGAAAATTTACAGTCTCAGAAACCCAAAGAGAGAGTTCTACTCAGTCTTACAAAGTCGTTAAGTCAGAATAAAGTGGATAGCAGTGGGTGGTAATAATTTTAAAGATCCCAAACCTCCAGAGTACATGAACAGCAGGGTCCCAAGATGCACCCCAATCCCACAAGCACTTCCTGCTTCAAAGAGTCTTCCTGGCCTTATGCACCCAGCCATCAGTCATTCACTTTCAGTCCTGACAAACAGACAATGACTTCTTTCTGCTCCTGCCACAGGCTCTGAGGATCAGGGGTTGGCAGAGGTAAAAGACACATATCAATCAAAGTGGCCCATCTAGCCTCAACCTCCTCCCTTCTGACTGCTTGCACATAGACATCCTCAAGTCCTGATCCGGCTACGAGTATAAAGCCACTGCCAAGCAAGGCAGGCTCCTGTTTTCAGTGGATACATGTAGCTCTAAGTATTGTCTGGAGGACTACCAAAAGCTTTGGTAATAAGCTTTGTTGTTGTATGGTGGGTGCTATCCAGCTGGTTCCAACTCATAGTGACCCATGCACAACAGAATGGGTCATCTGCACCATCCTTACAATTCTTACATGTTTGTACAATGTCCAAATCACTTAATCTGCACCATCCTTACAATTCTTACATGTTTGCATAATGTCCAAATCACTTAACATTCTATCCTTTTCACAGCAATTATTCTGGATATTAAATGGTACATACTTGTATAAGAAACATTTACTGGTGGTTTATTTGTACAAAAGTCAGTATTACTAAAAATGTAATTGCAATTATTTTATATCTAATATAACGTACAATATTTTAACAACTGTCCTGTATACTAATATAACAAATCTGAAAGATTTCAATGAGCTTGTCTACTACAGAACTGAAAAGGCTTTTTTAAAATCAAAACTAGGTGATAATTGTAAAAATAGTCTTGCCAAGTAGATGCTAATGAGTGCTGAGAAAGAAGTGCCACCCTATCTAAATGCCTCAAAGAAACTTTCAATGACAAAGGGATCTCTCTTGTAGTAGGGTTTTTCCTGACAGATGGATAGAGCAACTGAAGGCTGAAGCACTTGACTCCACCCCCTCTGCCCTGAAGGGAACTCCAAGTTGGTAAAATCAACACCAAGGTAACACTACATAGATAACACTGAATCAAAAAGATTCTAGAACTCCCTGTCTAGAGTGTAGACCTTAGCTTGTGACTATTAATAAAATTTGTTTCAGAAAAAATAAATAAAAATAAAATTTGTTTCAGAACATAACACACATTCCAAAAAAGTGTACTATGGTCAGGTATATTTGGATAATGCTCCAAATTGTCCTGTATTCCCTTTGAAGAGGTCTTGCGCAGCAAATTTACTCAACACAATGTGTTGTTTGATCTCAACTGCTGCTTCCAGGAACATTGATTTGTTGATCCAAGAAAGAAAATATCCTTGACAACTACAACCTTTTCTCCTTTTCTCATGGTGTTACCTCTTGGTTCAGTTGTGAGGATTTCTGTGTTCTTACTATTTGAGTTGCAATCCATGCTGAACGCTGTAGTCCTTGACAGTCATCAGCATGTGCTTCAATTCTTCCTCAATTTCAGCAAATAAGGTTCTGTCATCTGCATAGTACAGGTTGTTAATAAGTCTTCCTCCAATCCCAATATTGCATTCTTCTCCATATATGTAATCCATATGCTGAGATTTACTCAGCCTACAGATTTAGCCAGTATGGTAAGAGGACACACCCTGATGCACTTCCTTTCCTGATTTTAAACTATACAGTATTCCCTTGTTCTGTTTGTACAACTGCCCCTTCCTCCATGTACTGGTTCTGCCTGAGCACAATGAAGTGTTCATAGTTTGTTATGATCCACACAGTTGAATGCCTTGGCATAGTCAATAAAACACAAGTAAACATCTTTCCGGTATTCTCTGCTTTCAGCCAAGATCCATCTGACATTAGTCAGCAATGACATCCTTTGCTCTATATCCTATTCTGAATCTAGCTTGAACCTCTGGCAGTTCCGTCAATGTACTGATGCAACCTTTGTTGGATGATCTTATGCAAACTTTTACTTGCATATAATACTGTTCTATAATTTGAACATTCTGTTGGTTTACCTTTCTTTGAGATGGGTATAAATCTAGATCTCTTCCAGTCAGGTGGCCAAGTAGCTGTTTTCGTACTTTCTTGGTATAGGCCATTCAGTGCTTCCAGTGCTTCATCTCCATTAGTATTCCTTTAATTCCTGGAGCCTTGTCTTTGGCTAATGCTTTCAGTGGAATTTGAACTTCCTTTAGTACCATGGTTCTTGCTCATATGCTACCTCTTGAAATGGTTCAATGTCAACTGATTCTTTTTGGTACAGTGACTTTGAATTCTTTCCATTTTCCTTTGATGCTTCCTATATTGTTCAATGTTTGTGTCCAAACTCTTCACTATTGCAACTCAAGGCTTTTATTCTTTAGTTCTTTCAGCTTAAGATATTTGAGTGTTCTTCTGGTTTTCTAACTCTAAGGCTGTATACATTTCATTATAATATTTACTCTGTTATCTCGAGTTGCCCTTTGGAATTTTCTGTTCAGCTCTTTTACTCCATCATTCCTTCCATTTGCTGTTAACTACTCGTACTCTACTGACAGGAAAGTGGTGGGGACTGAATTGTGTCCTCACTCCCACCACCCCCACCCCCACCTCCAAATGTGTCTGCCACACAAGACCTCTTTTGAAGTGTTGAAAAAAGCAAGGATGTTACTTTGAGGACTAAGGTGCACCTGACCCAAGTCATGTTATTTTCAATCACGTCATATGCATATCAAGGTTGGAAATTGAATAAGGAAGACCAAAGAATCGATGCATTTGACTTATGGTGCTGGCGAAGAATTTTAAAAGTACCACATTGTGATGATGAAGAATTATGTCAACTAGACACTCCTGGGTAAAGGTAGTGGCAGCACCCTACCTATCAACTGAGTATCCTTGAGTCTCTTTGGTGTCATAAGTCTTTTTGTGTAAGAGAGGGAGTCCAAGCTGAGTCAAATCCTCTTTGGCCTTCCACATTCTGCAGACAATGGATCTTGCCTCTGGTTCCTTGGTCTCCTGTTGCTCTACCTGCCAATCCCAGGAAGATCCGCAGACTACTGACTGTGGAGATCTCTGTGTCCACCAGCCTTCACCTGGCACGCTGTCTATGCTTCATAGTCCTGTTTCTCATCTTACACAAGTTAGGTGAAGCCTAACATGAGCCAGATGGACTTACCTATTCCTACAACTGTGTAAGCCATTTCTTGAAAGAAAT